CCTCCCCCCGGGTTTCAGGACCTGTGAACTTGAATGCCGTCTTGTGCTTCGAAATGTTTTACTGTACGAAAGTAACGGCATTATTTGTTTTTCATTAGCTCGATTTAAAGCACAATTGCATCCAACGAGGGATCTAAATGAACAACAAGCGTGCATGTCGATAGTACTGTCTTGTAAACAAATTCTCCAAAACGCAGTTTTGATTGTACACAGAACGGCGGCCGCGCGCGAAGGCAAAGTTCTATGAAAATCTCTTAATAAAACAGATAAACAACAAATAAAGTTTTACGATAAGAGTTAAAAATAGCATCACTTAGGGCGCCTAATTAACCACAGGAAGCCCAACAGAAGATCAAGTATGGCCTGATTAAAAGTGGTTAGAACGTCTCAAAACACAAAAATTCTCGAGATAAACACAAGGTAAATGTTTAGTTTAGTTTATGCTTGCTCTTGGGTATGAAACACAACATAAAGCGATCTATTTTGTTGACGTGTTTATCAACTTGTTGGTTTCACACCTGTTGAAAATATGAATATTTCGGTAACTTTGGTCGGTTCTAGCGAAGCATAAACACATTTACCCAAGGATATTTTTACATAGATCGAAAGAACTCTTCCTTGACATTTTATCCTGCAAAGATCATTTGATTTGATCATATCGGTCTTTGTCAAATCGACGGCTATTTTGATAGTAGTTTTAACGATCAAAAACAGGTGTCATTTATAAAAATTTGCCAGAAATTTTAGATATTAGCTACAAGTCTAAAACTCGCCCAAATGAAAGAAAATGGGTGATATTTTTATCTTATAAATGTTTTAAGCATTAAACATTGCTGCATTAACCAAACGAGGCCATCAGTTTATCGCCATTTCATAGCTCGAAAATTAGCATATTTACATCGTTCCATGAAACTTCAATTTACTCATAAATGAAACGTTATTTTCAAAAACCAAATACATGGTTGTTTATCTTATATAATAGGGTACCTAAGTTCAGAGTATGAGCGAAATCGATTTTTCAAGAGTTGGCACGTTATGTTTGATTTTTACTGACATCCGCTCTTAATAAATTTAAATTTAAATTTGTTATTTTAATAATTATAAATCAGTAAACATTTAAATATTAAAATTACAATGATATAAAAATTAATAAAATAGTAATAAATAAATTATATTAATAAATTATATTATTTTGTTTTGTTTTTTAATATTTTGTGATAATATTCATTAAAGTGTCATCTGATTTATTTTACGTAGAGTGAACCTGCAGAATSGAAGGAGGGAGTTTTCACATCATATGGAAAATGGATGGATGGATGGGAATCAAGAAGAAAAAGAACGCCTGGCCACGACTGGTGCATTATCAAACTCGGTGTTCCAGGAATAATTGAAGGCTTTGACATTGATACTTCGTATTTCACTGGAAACTATCCTCCAAGAGTATCTATACAGGCTGCATGTCTTTCAGATGGTAAAGAAATATTTATAAAATTTTTGATATAATTTGCGCTCTGATTGGCTGACGACTATGTTTATATCAGAGGACAGAGACACTTACTGGCAAAATTTGTTTTTAAAAAACAAAGAAAATTTTTTGAAAAGAACTATAAAACGGCCGCTTGTGTCTCTGTCCTCTGATACAAACACAGTGGAAGTTGAAAAGCACTCGAGAAGCAAGAGAAACACTCGCTTCTCTTCGGTTTTTCAACTCCCACCATGTTTATATCAGAGGGCAGACACACGGATGATGTTTTATATTTCTTAAATATAAGATGAAATACATTATAAATATTGAACACAATTGAGACATCATGGAACCCCCTTGGACCATGTTTACAGTATATAGAAGTATGTTTTTTTGTGGTTACTTGTCTTGAAACGGGTAACCACTATGTTATTGAGTTGTAAGCAAGTCAGTCAGTCAATAAGTAACAGTCACGTCATCCAAGGCAACCCCCCTATACCCCCCTGAATGCCAACAAATCAATCACTATATTTAGTTTACACACTGTTATTTATAGATGTGGAATTCCCTGAGCGCGTCTCAGAAATGGGTATCAGTGCTTCAGATGGCCAGTGGGAGCAAATAAATAAGATAAAATCTGAGGTAAGAATTTCACAGTTTKTAATGATTATGATAAAAATGCGAAAAAAATGTGCTGTTTTCCAAACTTTAAAATGTAAGTTTCAACTTCATTGTTGAAGACGTTAAATCTAATATGTGGTCTGTAATTTACCACTAAGCCCTCATGAGATCAACCAATCTTCCTCTTCATGCCTAGTGGCACATAGGGCCTTTATAGAGTTTCTCCATTCCACTGTGTTAGCCTCCTTTATCTACACCTTCCATGTCTTCCACCCCTCATAAGATATTATYCATGTATTTGTATGCATATATTTTGTTTATAAGGACTGGGCCGTGCTACTTCCAATGAGCATACTAGGACCAGGTTACAAAGAGACAGCCCATAATTATTTCATGGTCAACAACAGAATGAGATGCACACATCTAAGGCTTAATTATTACCCAGGTAAGAATTCTCTACATTAAAATCCTAAGATGCATTTGATTGTTTACTATTTGATTGTCAAACATTGAATGAATAATAAAAAAAACATTGTTTTCTTAAGATGGAGGAACAGCAAGGCTGAGAGTTTACGGWTATGCAGTAAAAGATTGGTCAATGGCTTCACAAGAAAAGGTAATTACATAAAAACTTGTTAGTACAGGGTTGTTTATGTTTAAATGTTTAATTTAACGTATTACAAATACTGCTGCATTACATGTAGTTCTTTCTGCATTTCATGTAGCACTTAAAAGTGCTATTCTGACAAAAATTGTCAAATCTGAAATAAAAAATATATATTAATTAAAACCTTACATGTAATTTATAGCATGTTTTCTTGAATTCAAATGGGTCTTTGCACTTCACTTGTCTGAATTCTCAGGTGCTGATTAGACTGTTGTGTCAGTACAAGAGGACATCCATAATACTGCTGACACCTTCCTGCATGCACTCATGAAAAAAAGAAAAGAAAAGAACGATAAAAAAAGAATGAAAAAAAGAATAAAGGAAAGAATGATTTTTGCTCATTTTTAGACTAAAATGTTATAAAAAATTTGCACACTTTTTGTATCTTCTCCTATTATTGGCACACTCCTCATCCAATTTGTTTCTTATTTGGACTGCATAGAGTCCTATAACATAATATGTAATAATATTTGTATTTCTATAACTTACTAGGTTGTTGACCTGGCAGCCATGGTTAATGGAGGACGTGCTCTTGCATGGAGCAACCAACATTATGGACACCCCAGAAACCTTATAGGTCCTGGTCGTGCTCCTAATATGGGCAATGGATGGGAGACAGCYCGGCGTCTTGACAGACCACCTATTCTTAAGCTTAAAGCTGATAACTGCATAGATTTTCCAGGTATACAGTTAAACAAAGCATTAGATTTATGATG